GACTCCTGTGTGCCCCAGCTACAGACTCTGCCACCCCAGGACCTCAGTGCTGCCTGTGGGCCGCGCTCTTCTCCGGGCCGTGCCTGCCCTGGGGACCGTGCTTCCACTTCCGCTTCCGCTTCTTTTGCCTTTAATAAATCTCATTCGTGTGGCTCCTCCTGGTGTCCTGCTTAATTCTCTGGGATGTGGAAACAACTTTCCCAGGACCCTCCCTCCCGTAACAGGGTCACAGGTCTGTGTCACTGCATCCAGCTTGTGCAGCATATTTTCAAATGTCAGTTTTTTTTTTTGGTACCGGTATTTGAACTCAGGACCTTGTGCTTGCAAGGCAGGCACAGTGCCACTGAGCTAAATCCTGGGCCCCATAAATGTCTGTATTTTAAATACAGAAAAGTTCAAATTTTGGAAAGCATTTTTGCACTGCAATACATATAATATTTTTATACTCTTTCTTGACACGTTACCTAGCAATTGAAGAATTTTGTTTTAAAAATATAAATGTTGTATGTCTTACAAATTAGCTGTAACTTAGATTATCAAACAAAATGTTTTGATAGGAAGAAATGATGTGATTTGTGAATTTTTACATCCAGGTAGTTATATTTTATTTTCTATTGAAGTACAGTTTTGGTAGATTTTATACGAAAATCTGTTCAGAAATTTCAATGTCTAAGAAAATTGTTGCCACATACTAAACTCTTCAAGCTAGCTCACCCTTTAAAACATATACTTAATATGAAAAGTTATAATATCCCTTTCTATGATTCAAATACTGAGATCTACCCTTGTCTCTCTTTTGTTCTAGCAGCTGGTACTAAGTAGGTCACAGTTTTAATGATAAAATTTTCAGGAATATTTTCTCTGTATACTAAGCGGTGATTAAAAAATATGGTGAATGTTTAAATTAAAAATTTTATTATAATAAAAGGCATATTGCCATGAATTCACCTCAAAATATTCCCCTCACTTTGAACACACTCATCCCATCTCCCTTGCCACTTCCTGCAGCAGCTCTGGAGTCCTCTTTCTTCAGTGTCTTTATGAGATATGATCAGAATACGGTGACTGCTGCTGCCGAGCGCCATCCAACAGAAAGGCAGCTCATAAAAACACGACACTGTGTCCTCATCCACCTTAGTCACAGGATCTGGGACTGTGTGACCTGTGTCTCTTCCCTAAAGTCACAATGACCATGAAAGGGACACGTTTTGAATCCATTCAGGACCTCGAGGCAGCCAGGACAGCGCAGCTAAAGACCCTCAGGAAAGAGGACTCCAGAGCTGCTGCAGAAAGTGGCAAGGACGATGGGATGAGTGTGTTGGAAGTGAGGGGAGGATTTTGAGGGGATTCAGGGCTGTGTGTCTTTTACTGTAACACATTTAAAAAATTTTAAACATTGACCATATTTGTTGATTGCACTTTATAGTTAGTGAAGTTAGGATCTTTGGTTAGATTGCCATGATTATGCCATTGCACTTAAAAACAGCATGAGCAGGAGGTGGGAGGGGTTCACATGATCAGTAAGCCACATAGATATTTGGTGTCAGCACACGTCTTAAGCTTTTGCAGGAGCAGCGTCACCTGCTAAGAAGAACCTGCAGCTTGTGTACAGGGCTGCATGAGAATGGAGTGTTCCGCACATAGCCAAGTTAGATCCTTCCTCTGATACCCTCTTAGGGTCTTGTTCTCTGGTAAATTAAAGTTCGCTTGTTTATTTTCCTAGCATCAGCTTCTCTGATGTCTCCATGACCCGTTTGGTTTGGGTTCATTGCGTTAATCTCGACCCTTGGCTGAAAGATGATTTCTATGATTTACTTACCTGAAAAGCCTGGCAGAGGAATTTCTCCAGGAACGTTGCTGCCGCCTCAGCAGATTTTTCCTCCATGTTCACACTTCCGCTCATTACAGCTGAAGGAGTGGCCGGGCCTTGCAGGCAGCAGCAGGTGACTTTGCGTGTTTGTTGATTGAATTCCAGTAGCCAAAAGGAGTTCTGAATGGCTCGCCCTTAGCAGCAGCATGAGTATTAAATTTATTTTGTAAAGGAGAAGAAAGAGAGAGCACATCTTGCTGATTTCTAAATGCCGAGGGTGCCTGCACTGATTCAACTCTCTGTTCTTTCAAGAGAATTTTCTCCATAAAAGTAAATACTCACTTTTGATATTTCAAAATAGCAGCACAGCAGAGTGCAGGTACTTTGTGATTCCACACGATTTCGTGTTTAATGGTCTCTTTTCCCCAGCAATGTGGATGGAACCCAGGGCCTTTGAATGGAGCTACATTCCCAGCCCCCTTTTTTTGGTTTGTTTTTGTTTTTGGTACTGGGGATTGAACTCAGGTCCTTGCACTTGCGAGGCAGGCGGCGGAACCACTGAGCTAAATCCCCAGCCCTCCAGCCCCTCAGCCCTTTTGTATTTTTTACCTTGAGGTAAGGTTTCACCAAGTCACTAAGTTGTCCAGGCTGGGCTCCGACTTGTGATCGTCCTGCCTCAGCCTCCCAGAGGGATAGGATTAGAAGTGCAAGTCACCATGTGTGGCTCAGGTGCCACCTCTTAAAAATTCCACTAAATAGCAGCACAGGCTGGGGGTAAACCCTTTAAAAGGTGGGCTTTTGGGGGACAGTCTAGATCCAAATATAGCATCTGACAAACACCACCATCATGGCAGAGGGCTGGTGGAGGAGCACACTGTGTACTGTGCTAGCTGACTGAAAAACTCCCCCTGCACTTTTCTTCTAGAGCTTTGGGTGTGATGGTTTTTTAATTGCCTCTTTATATGACAACAACTTTGTATGATTATTATTCTTGTTATTTTTTGTGGTACTAGGGATTGAACCCAGGACCCTGCATGAGCCACATCTCAGGCTCTTTTTACTTTTTCTTTTAAGACAGGGTCTCACTAAGTCATTAGGTTGCCCAGGCTGGGCTCACATTTGAGGTCCTCCTGCCTCAGCTTCCTTAGAGCTGAGATTACAGGTGTGCACTAGTGTTCCTGGCTGTAACAATAATGACGATAAGTTGTTATGTGGGTGAATAGAGATGACTGCCTCTTCCGATGGATCTCCGCTGTGGATTGTTGGCACTTAGGGACGTGCTTCCAGCTGGCTTCTCGACTCTGTTCCCCCAGGGGCCGGGATGTCCCAGGGAGGGCGGTGTAAGGCAGGGCTGCAGGCTGTAGACTCTGTCCCACCCTGTGACCCAGGCTGTAGACTCTGTCCCACCCTGTGACTGTCACCTGGGCAGAGAGGAAGAGCCCAGCAGAGCCGCACACTTCCTCCCACATTGGGCCCCACACAGCTCAGGGACCTGATGCCCAAGCTCCGCAAGGCAACCGAACCTGTTCATGCCACCATCCTTGGAGGAGAAGCTGGAGGTGGCTGTTCCCTTCCCAGGCCTGCAGCATGGCACTGGAGCCCAGGCATGCACGTGGGAAGCTGGGGGCCACCCACAGCGCCCTCGGTGACTGGCAGCTATGACGGCACCACCCGATCCTCTTTGTGTCCCAGAAGTTGCTCCCGGTGACATCCCAAAGCTGAGCCAGCTCATTTGCTGGGCCTCCTGGGGCCCCTGTGGCCCCTGCTGCTTGGATGAGGTGTGAGTCCCCCTCAAAGCCTCAACAGGGTGTTCATCCCCTCTGTGGGTGCCCATGGGGTGGGTCCCCCAGGGAGCCCTATGTAGAAGATACATTGCTCTTGACACACAGATCACCCCACAGTCGAGAGAGTTCAACCCAGGGCTGTTTTGATCACAAGGGGCGGGAAGCTCTTTCGGTAGCTCAGCCAGAGATGCAGGTGCTGGCTCACACAATTGAGTCCTTGCAGGCCGAATCGGCAGCTGTGAAAGCAGAACGAGGTGCGTGCAGTCCTGGGGGCTTTCCTTGTCCCAGCGAGGGCCGTGCCCAGACTCACATTCCCTCACAGTGGGGCCGACATGCATGCGGGGTTTCTGACTCCATCTCACACATGGCAGGAAGGAGTCACCAGGAATCCAGGGGATGAGGCTTTGAGCTCAGTTGGCCCGTGGGGTCCGGCTCTCCCTTGAGCCAGTCACTGTGGCCAGCGCCACGGGCCATTCTGGGCCACTGTCCGCTCCAGGAGCTGGCCCGCTGCTGGCCAGGTGCGCCGGTGGGCCCTGAGGACTCACGCCTTCCTTGGATCTCACTCTCCTTTGAAAATCAGAGGCCTGGCTTTCCGGCTGGGCACCACCAGGATGACCCTGAGCTTTGGATCTTCTGGATCTCCTTCCTGGGAAGCACCAGACCAGGGCTGTCTGATACCTGCTGCCTCCCACAGGGGTGGGAGGGCTTGGCTCTCCCTGCCCATGGCTGCAGCCTGCCGGGATGTCCCCGGAGCAGGAGGAAGCCAGGGCCCCTTCTTCCCACCCATCTCCCTCACCTCCCTGCAGCACGCTGCCCTGGGTCTCATGCACTCTGCATTTTGTTAAATCTTGTTCATCGAAAGAGATTATCAGCACCAGGTATGGTGTGTGTGCCTGCCATCGAGGAACTCCGGGAAGCTGAGGCAGGAGGGTGGAAAGTTCATACCCAGCCGGGGCAACTTAGTGACTCAGTGAGATCTGGTCTCAAAAGAAAAAAAAAGAAAAGAAAATGTAGCGCAAGTGTAAAGGACCCTGGGGCAGGCTTCAGTGCTGCAAAGAGGAAGATGATGAAGAAGAGCAGGAAGAAGAAGAAAGGAGGAAAGCTAGCAACCCATGGCACCCAGGAAGAAGGGGAAGGGGAGGGGAGGGAGGGGAGGGAGGGGCCACTCAGTGCCTGGCGCCGCCTGGGCTCAGTGTCCCTGTTCTTCCCCTTCCAATCCAGCTACCTCGCGGGTTTCTGTCCCTTTCTCCCTTCCCTAACAGGGGCTGTGACTTCCCCGGGCCCCAGTTGGTTGCTGACCTCAATCTCCTCCCAGCGGTCCCTGGGACGGGCTTCGCCCCTGCCTGACGGGAGGCCCTGTCATCTCGCCCTCTGTCCCGCTTTGCGCCAAGAAGGAACAAGTCGGTGCCGAGTGCCACAAGCGAATGCAGGGTGTAGACCAGCCTCTCCGGAGCCGGGTTAGAATCGCAGCTCCCTGACTGCGCTGGTGTGGGCTGGGAAGAGTGGGGAGTTTCTCGGCACCTCAGAGCCTGCCCTCTGGAGCAGACAAGAGCTGCGCTTTGCTCTGGCTCCTCAGCGTGGAGCCGCCTGCCTCTGCTGAGCGTGCGCATCCCAGGAGGACGGGGAGAGCGGAACTGTAATCCCACTAATCCCCCAGCGCTGTGGGCAAAATCACGCAGGCATGGGGTTATTTCTTGTTTTCCCCTCTGCACCCCTCGAGCACGTGTGGCAAGCAAGAAGCACCTAGTGCCGAGGTTGGAGAGAGATCAGGATTCCCAGCAGCTCCTGCCCAGCACAGTGAGTCTTCCCTCACCCAATCTCTCATTTCTGCAGCGTGACTTAAAAAGGCTTATCACCTGAGCGGTGGGATGGGGAGGGACACGGCCTGCGTGTCTGCACAGTCCGCGCGTGTGTGTGCGCGTGCTGTGCAATAGTTTCCCCTGTGTTTCCAAAGATCTCACAAGTGTGGTCCCTTCTGTACCCAGCCCAGGTTGGAGATCGCATCCTTGGCCGTCGCTCCTCCCCAGGGAGTGAGGTTTGGTGGCAGCTTCCATGTTAGAGCCGTAATTAGGATATTCATTACGCTACTAATGCGATGGGGCGCGGCTCGCACACGTTTGTGGATGAGAAGGTATGATGATTCGGAGTAACTTCCTTGGGAGCAAACAGACAGGGTGTCGGGTGAGATGTGCTTTTCCTAATTGGGGAGACAGGAAAGAGAAGGAAATCTTGGCTCAGGGCTGGGATCCTGGCTCGGATCCGCGGGAACCAGGGTCGTGGCAGAGTGAGCCTCCCTGGGACCCGGGGTAGCGGGCACGGAGGGTCCGGTGTGAACAGCTCCCTTCTCGGCAGAAGTGATCAGGTGGGGCTTTGGCCAGACTCTGACCTTGGGGCCTTGTGTGAGGGAACCCTGGCCGGTGCCTCTGTCCAGCCACCTTCCCTCGAGCTCTGGGTCCTTTGGCACAGCAGCTGGAAGTTTTCAGCCAGAGAGAGGCCGAGGCAAACTCGGAGTAGTGTTTGATGGAATGTGGAGCGCCTCTTCTGCTTCCTCCTCTTCCTCCTCTCTCCCCATCCTCCTGCTCTGCTTCTCCCACATCTTCCTCCTTGAACCCCTCCTCTTTCTCTTCTCCTCCTCTTTCTCCTAGGTGCTGGAGATCGAACCCCTGGACTTCTGCATACCAGGCAAACTGAGCTACATCCCCATCCCCTAATTTCTTATTTATTAGAGGAACAGAAATATCTCACTTGGTACAAACCAGAAACAAATGTTTTGGTACAAGCAGCATCTTAGGCCAGGAAGCTGAGGCAGGAGGATCACTGTGAGTCAAGGCCAGCCTGAGCTACACAGCAGGACTCTGTCCCCCAAAACAAAACAAAACCAAAAACAAAAACAAAGAACCCCAGGGTCTTGGGAGAAGGACCAAGTTCTCTGTTTGGGTAGTTTTAAGAGATTGCTGTGGGAGTGCAGGTTTTTCCTCCACTGTGAATTCAGAGCTGGCAGGGGCAGGAGACGGGTGCAGGGGACACAGTGAAGAACACGGCATTTATCTTCCTGGGGTGACTCTAGAGCAGGGCATGGGCACCCTCAGCATCTGCACAGGGGACTGGGAGATGCTGAGTGGCAGGGGGCATCCAGACTGTCCTTGGCGGGTGGGTGACCAGCAGCAACGACTTCCCCAGCCCACGATTCTGTCCCCCGCCAGGCTATGCAAGCCGGGGTTTAAGATAAGTTGAAACAGATTTGCCATTGTATCCATTAGTTACTAATTTGTCCCCCAAAGAAACCTTCTTCTTTCCTTACATTAGGTGAAATAGAAGTAGAAACTCAAGGGAATAAAGTTGGAAGTAAGTGGCAAAGCAGGAGAATGAGGAGAGAAGAGTGATTCACATCCCATTCAGCTGTGAGCTTCCTGGCAGCCAGGAGAAAGAGAGAAACACTCAATGACACTGGAGGCCATATCTGTTTCTCGGAGGCAGTAAAGTAACTGCCACCGAATTAGGGATTATTAAACCCATCTTTTCTAATACTATATTCTAAAAAAATTCATGTCTGAACATCTATATTGACATTTATGAGTGGGGTAGGACACAGTTTGTTGAGCAATAGTAACAGACTGTACATGGAGAGTTTGCACGATGTCCATAGACAGGAAACAACAATCCTGCTTAGAGGTCTCGACCCCGAGGACTTCCTGTCTGGTCAGACCCAAATGCAGAATTCATTCCGGGCTGCGGAGGACACTTGCGGAGGACAGGATCTCGCCACACTTGTCCCAGTGCTTTTCCACCTGCACGCGGCAGTGCAGTGCGCCCTGTCCCCTTCCCGGATGTCAAGGCCCCTCCCGCCCTGGGAGCCTCCTGGTGCTTGTGCTCCAGGCCGCTGGCTGCGGGCGTGAGGTCTAAAGGTGCACGATCTTCAGGAGCACAGGGAGGGCCCTGCTCTGGCAAACTTCACGGGGACCCAGGGGGTCCTCACGCACAGGGGTGAAAAGGAGCAAAGTGTGTCTGCTGCAGATCTGAAGTGGGAGCTTCCTGGAAGCCTCCGTGAGTGTGTATTTCAGCCATTCATCCCGGGAGCGGAAATAATGGTGGCCAGGCGTGGGCCAGTGATGCTTGTGAAGCATTTGCCTCCGGCCAGCGGGGGTCACAGAATGCTTGGGGACCCGAGGACACAGCGGGCCCTTTCCAGGGGTTCACATGACCAGATGGATGCTGCCACTTCATGTGGCCACCAGAGGACAAAGGCCATGGCCAGGGCCGGGCCTGGGGAGTGTGGGCGATGGGGCAGCTCTGTGTGGGAGCCCTGGACTCCTTGGAGGAGGCGGCTTCCAAGCTGGGACTCAGCGATGGGATGCAGGGGATGTGTCAGAAGAGGGCCCCAAGTGTGAGTCCCGGGCCAGCGAGGTGAAGGAGGAAGGGGAGAGAGGAGCGCAGTGAGCCGGAGCCTCTTGGCCTGGATTTCAAGCCAATGGTGTCTGGAAGTCACAGGCAGAGTCTTGTTTTGGGGGTGGTGGTGGCACTGGCTGTGGGTGCAGAAGGCTGGAAAGAGAGAGAAAGTGGGGGTGCAGATAGAAGGGTAGAGGCTGCTGGGTGCAGGTCCAAGCCACACCATGGCCGGAGGGGCGAGGGCCACATGGAGTTCCTTTGTACCACACTACGTGTGAGATGTCTGCTGGGTCCTCAAGCCGACCATCACTGGCCGAGGCCACTTGATTAATTCCACTGTATTTGCTCAGAGATCTTGGAGTACACTGTATTCTGCTACTTTTGTAGCGGTCTTAACCTTAGTCAACATCTAGGCAACTAAACACTATTTTGCTGCCACCACCTCCTTACCTTCCTTCCATCTTTCTTTTTTTTCTGTTAATTTGTGAGAAAAATTAATTAACCCTGACATTTTCTGCCTTCATACTTTTTGTATATTTGTCTTAGCACACTTTTGCAGTACATAATGTTTGCGTTCTTTTTTGTTTTTGTTTTTGGTTTTTTGAGACAAGGGCTCGCTCTATAATTCAGGCTGGGCTTGAACTCACTAGGTAGTCCAGGCTGGCCTCATACTCCTGCTCATCCTCCTGCCTCAGCCTCCTGAGTGTTAGGATTATAGGCATGCACCACCAGGCCCAGATAATGGAAATTCTTTGTATGAAGTTGGTGCATGTACACAACACATCTTAATTCCTTTTTGCATCCCCTTTCCCTCCCGTCTTCACTTCTTCCTTCTCTTCATCCCCTTCCCATTTGGGAAAGATCTACCTCCCTACTTCCTATTATACATCCTTTATTTCACTCTTTATTTATACTTTGGGTTTCTCACAGGAGAGAAACCAGGCAGTATTTAAGCTTGTGTGTCTGATTTACTTCACTTAACATTATGGTCTCAAGATGCATCCATTTTCCTATACTTGACTCAAGTTTATCCTTCTTTATGGCATAGTAGCACTCCATTGTGTATAAATACCACATTTTCTGTTGATGGACATACAGTCTGCTTCCAAGATTTAGCTATTATGAGTTGTGCTGCTATAAACATGGGTTCAGATTTGATATTTCAATGGAGCAAATGCCTGTGGTTTGTTCAGTGGCTCATTCAGTCATTTAACAGACACTCCCTGACCTCCCAGCTCTGGCCTAGAGGAACAGTAAGAAATTGAAAATGCTGGCTACAGAGTACATTAGAGAAATAGGACTGAACTGCGTAGAGGAGACAGGGTAACTAATCGAGACGTTCAGGCAAATACACTCTCCACAGGCCAGTGGGAGCCAGAGGAACTGGGTAGGCACGGGGAATGCTGGAGGGCTGCGGGGTGGAAGTGTCCCCAGCCCCCTGGAGAAATGGGCAGTGCCTGAGGCAGGGGAGGAGAGGAAAGCGGGTGGAAGAGCAGCAGTGCCCGGGGAAGAGCTCTGAGCCCTGGGGCTGGGCCAAGTCTAAAGTAATAATGGAGGGGCCTCTTCCAGGTTGCCTCAGGCCTTGCCCAGGGGCTTCCAGAACCCTGGGGTCTGCTGATTCTCAGTGGGATGGGGAGCCCCAGGACCACCACCCTTATTCCTCTGCCGTCCAGGCCCCTGGTGACCACTGCCCCCTCTCTGTGACCCCACCCGGGGTCGGATTCTAGAGGAATAAAGTGTGAAAAGTATCATGGATTATTTTCAGTGGCCGAACAAGTAGGGGTTCCATCTGCCAGCATTTTGAAATAAATATTCTATATTTTTTACATCTGGTCCAACCCCACCCAGATGGAATATGCAAATGTGTATGAGTTAATGATTTTTTATATTGGTGTTTTGTGCCTGTGTGTGAGAGAGAGAGAGAGAGAGAGAGAGAGAGAGAGAGAGAGAGAGAGAGAGAGAGAGAGGGAGAGGCAGTCAGAGCCTGCTGTGAAAGAGTTCACGTCCATGTAATGACATAACGCTCGTCAGGATGCCTCGCAGGCACATTCTGTGCGTGTGGCCAGAGTATTCTCCGTCGGTTTAGAAGGAGCGGCTTCGAATGGCGGGAAGGCACGCCAGGCACGGAACGCAAACCTCATTCGCGAGCCTCATACAGAGGGCACGTTCACCATAAATATTTAGCACGATCCTTCGTGAGTATTTATTCAAAACAAGAGGTTTTATTTTAGAGGCTCCTGGGCTCCCCCTGCCTGATGCTGACGAGCGTCAGCCTGCGCGGCCTCACCTTGCCGAGGAAGGCTCCGCAGTGGGCCTGCAGCGGATCCGTCCACCTACTCGTCGCAGATGGCTTCGTTTCATAAGAGCTGAAACTGCATTTGGTGGAACTGATTAAATATAAAAACACTGCC